TGGGTCAATTGTACTTTCAAAGTAGATTTAATTTGCTATCAACATGCAGCTAGCTGAAATATATGTATTTAAAGAGCTGAGTTCCTATTTGTACTTTCTTTTCTTCTGTACATAAATGATTTAGATATTTGACTTTGTAGCACTTTCAGAAAATATCAATACTTTGGAAGTTAGTTTTTTAATAGACCATTTAAGATGTATTATTTGAGCGTGCATTAGAGAATTTTCTTTTCTTAGCCACACTTGGCAGGATAATGGAGACATTTAGAACCATCTTTGCAGTTTTTTAGTGACTTTCCTCCATCAAAATCCTCCAAAAAGAAGTTCTGTGGGCATAATTGTGGTCCATATTACATGTTGCTTTAAATGGTCTGTACCATGGTTGTCACCACAACCGTGCAATATATATGATCCAGTGACACCTCCTGAATGTGCCAATATCTTCTTTTGATCGATCTATTGTGTCACAGCCTACTGAGAACTTAGGGGACTATTATTAGTCTGCGGGGGGCGGGCGATTGTGTGGGTTGATTTTTAATAAATTTTGGCACTAATAATGTTTAATTCTTATCATACGAGTGTTATTTTGCTATTTATTGTTTGGATGTTTTTCAGAGATCTGCTATGTTAGTTTGGATTGCCAAATGTTTTGAAGAACTGCCATGCCCCAACAGATTAGGGCTTATTATGGATTCAGAATGCTCATACTATAGATGTTAACGTGCTTGTAAACTGTATAACACCAAGCAAGATAACCTTGTTGCTTATATAGATATAATAGGAGTACAATAACATATCTCAAATTGAAAATAATTTGATAAATTTGTCCCTGCAATCTACCACCGATGTAGATGTGTGTATATCTGCACATATAACTATACCAGTTAAGGTATGTATGAAAAAAATGGCCACCTTCGAACAAGGACATTTTTGCTGCATTTGAGTAGTTCCCTAAATAGTATACTTAAATTGCAGCTTATTATTTTATTACCAAAACTATGAAGAATTTGGGAATCTATTATGTTCTAAATACATAATCTATTCTTCTTGACTGATTGTTTATAAACCTATAATTGGGTTTTTTTTTCGGTGATTTTTTTCTCACTAAATTAATCAGATGAAGTCATTGTATAATTTTTTCCATCTTGTAAATCTTTTTTCAATTTTGGTAATTTTCTTCAAATGCACTTAGCTTATTTTTGTAATTGACCCAAACAAGCTTTTAGAATAGGATCTAACTTTCTCATTTTAGGGTTTAGTTTATAATTCTGCTGTTTTAGTCCATGCTTTTTCTGAAGTCATTGCTTTAATCAATATTTTTTCTGCACCAAACCACTAAACTCAGTTAAATCAAGTGACTGTCATTCCCCTTAGACAAATATCTTAGTATGAATATATTGACATTTATATCACATCCACTGGTTATGATCTGTTTTTGACATCAGTGAGCATAGTTGGATGTGATTAATTTTGCTGGTGACCTGTGTTTCTGGATGGACAGCATACAATCAGTTTCACAACCACTTCTTATGATCTGCTTTTGACATCTGTGAACATAGTCGAATTTAATTAATTTTGCTGGCGGATTTTCTGGATGGGCAGCATATAATTAGCTCATTTGTTTATGATGTTGATGATTTTGTATTTACAAACTAATCCTTGAGATAGTTTGAAAGCTAGACTTTGCAGGATTCCTGTCATTTTAATACATGCAAGGATGAGTTAAAGATGGCTTTGAGTGATAGTTACCTGTTGTTAATTCATAGTTCAATCACTACTGCAGGCTCTTTTGCATGCTTCTGTTGCTTTCCATCGGAAATTATGTATTAATTGGGTTCCTTCCAGTGACCTTGAAGATGCCACTGCAAAAGAGGTTATTTATGTACTGAAATCATTTATCATATTTCTGTACACAGTATCTCAAAATTTGTCCGAAATTTTTGCCTTGCAGAATCCCGAAGCCTATAAAAGCGCTTGGAATTTGTTGAAGGTCTGAATAGCTTACACTTCGGCAGTCATGCAATCACTGATATATGCTACTTTTTTACATTTCTAATTACATATCATGGTTAATCCTTCTAACAAATCCTTGCCTTATAGGGGGCTGATGGTGTACTAGTGCCTGGAGGATTTGGTGATAGAGGGGTGGAGGGTAAAATTCTTGCTGCAAAGCATGCCCGCGAAAACAAGATCCCTTACTTTGGAATATGTCTAGGAATGCAAATAGCTGTGATCGAGTATACACGATCTGTCCTTGGACTACAAGATGCAAACAGCACAGAGTTTGACCCAGATACTCAAAACCCTTGTGTTATATTTATGCCAGAGGTTTGATGTTCTAGTACTTTTGTTTGCGGAATGTTATCCATCTATTTATATTATATAAATTTGAAGAACCACTCATTCTCACATTTGTTTTAACAGGGTTCAAAAACTCATATGGGAGGCACCATGCGCCTTGGATCAAGGAGGACACACTTTCAGAGTACCTCAAGTACATCTTGTAAGCTGTAAGTCTGTTAATCTTTGCACTTCACGTCCTCGCAGTCTATGAATGAAAACGTGAAGAAACGACTGAATATTCTTTTATAGCATAGTAGATACACAAGTTTCTTTGTACAATCAGTTTCTTCTTGTAAATTATAGAGTGGAGCCATGACGTGGCAGGATGAGATGTGTTGGATCAATACGCAGTTGCTACGAACAGTAGTGGACTGAAATGAGAATTCTGTCAAGTTTGAGGAGTGGCCTGTTATAGTTTACCAATCTTTTAGAACTATCATAAACGAAGAACTTTAGGGCGTTTGCTAAAATGTAACATGTCCAAGAATTCCGTCATATTCACCTTCCAGCATTATTTTGAAATGTGGTGGTGTTCATAGGCTTTCGTGCAAGTTGAAGCAATTTCTGAGCAGGATACAACCTCTAAATCTAACTTGAAAATAAATTTATATTTTTGTCAGATATGGCAGCAAGAGCTTTATTGATGAGAGACATCGACACAGATATGAGGTGTGTAGAACCACCATGCTCTGGACATAATTTGCCAGAGTCAAATATAAGAAATTTCTGTTCCTGGAGGGTGTTCTCTGTCTTTACAACAGTTCCATAAGGCTTCATTTTAAAAGAAAGTTTTATCTTTTCTAGGTAAATCCGGATATGGTTCAGCAACTTGAAGATGCTGGTCTCTCATTTACTGGCAAAGATGAAAGTGGTGACCGAATGGAGGTAGTTATTTCATAATGTCGCTAGCTTTCCAATTACAATTGCTGCTTTTATGCATTTCTGCCATTCATGGAGATAATTTTGCTTGTCATTGCAGATCATTGAGCTGCCCAGTCATCCTTTCTTTATTGGCGTTCAATTTCACCCCGAGTATAAATCGAGACCAGGGAAACCATCTGCACTTTTCTTAGGTACTTTTTGTTTCTATCTCAAGTTTCTGAGCATTAAAATTTGCAATCTGGAAGGCCAGGCTATTTATCCTCCATAAACTCGTAGTTTCATTTCCTTGAAGTTAAAAGAGATATACTCATTTTGACTTCTTTTGTCCTGTTATTAATGATTTTATTGGCAAAATAAGTTTTAGAATCAGTGATAGGCTACAAGGAACGATTAAATTTGAAATGTACGTATATTACTCAAAATCTAGAGGGGGGCCAAGTTGAGGTGTTTTGAGGGTGTTCATCTAAATTACAGCAGTCTCATCATTGCCCACCACGTGATAGTTTTTTGGTTCAAAATGATTATTTTGAGAATTGCACTGGCCAAGCATAAAATCTAGCATGGAATTACGATGGTTCTGTAAACTTTGTGTACCATTATGTTTTTCTCTACTCTATCTTCTTAGGTAGTTGGGTAAATTTTGCAAAGTTTAACTGTAAGAAGCTCTCAATCTTTGTCTAGTTTCCTGTTCACATTGTATCTGATATCTGTATCAATATTTTCCTACAACTTGTTAAAAACTCTGATGAGTGAAGCAAAATAATTCCGCCACTTCAACCTCACACACCTGTCGCTAAAAGGATGTTCAATCCATGTAATTATTATAAAGACGAAATGATCATGACATATGGTGACCTTCTAGATTTTGTTTTTGAATTTTCGATTGCTAGTTCAGGATTGTGGTTCTGGCCATCTTCTTTTACATGCAGTTCCTTAGATATTGAGAAACGACTTGTAGTCATTCTTGTGAGTGGGTGAATGTTATAGTCGATGAATGGTGATTAATCTTGATAATAACATTTTTTTTCTCAACAGGATTTATAGCAGCAGCATGTGGCCAGCTGGATACTCTTTTGAAGAAAGGTGCTACAAAGACTTGCCGAATGAGCAATGGTACCTCAGCAATAAAAACACACCTGTATGAGAATGCAACTAAGCTAGCTAATGGCCCTTTAGATGGCATTTACTGCAATGGGAATGGTTACATGTTTGAATGATGAGTAGTTTGTGGAGCTTTGTATCGAAAAAATACCATATATCCTCGCTTCTCTGGGTGTGATATATCAATTTTGGTCCTGAAATTTCTTCATGTATAGGCATACTAGTTTGGTAGGGGGTTATGGCTTCTCATATTGCCATGTCCATCGGTGCAGCTGAATTTCTATCTTTTTAAAGGATCTAGCTGCTGTAGTTGAAGTGCAGTGACACGGAAAATGGGTCGAGCTAGGTTTTCTTGATGGACTAATTATTGACCACTGACCCTCCTGTATGAGAGTTCTGCAATTGCCTGGATGAGGGATTATTAGCGTTCTCAGTTTCTCTATGATGTATTGTATAATTAATCGGTTGAAACAAAACAATGGTTACCTGAACCAAGAGTTGTGACTATTGTGACAGGTATTGAGTAATGACTGGATTGTTTTGAATTGTGGAGATTTAATGAAAATTTTGCCTTTTCACTTGTTTCAATAGCTTGAGTAGAGATCATGTTATCTTTATTTTACCAGTTAATCTGGACACATTGCATCTCCAGGGCCGAACTCTTTGCACAAAAGTAGAAATGAAAAGAGATACTTGCATAGTTGTCATTCACAATTCAAAGTATACATTACATTACATAAATACAAGCAAACAATACAAAAAACTCAAATAAATCTGAAATTAAAATCCCCTAATAGAGAAAAAGAAAAGCAAGCAATAATGGAGATAAAGATGTGGATGTGCTATTCTCAGGCACATGCATTCATGGACCCAACACATGACCACATGCACTCTGTTTCCCACCAACACTCTTACCTTCTTTATTCCTTCCTCCCTAATTCATTTTTAGTTTAGGTAACTCTCTCATTAATTATAAGCTAATAAACACTCACTTCATCAAACCTATAATCCAAAAGGAATCGACTATGTTAGGCAATCAACTAATTAATCAGCTTTTGGTCGGTCGGTTTATTTAAAAAAACATAATTTGATCTCGAACCAATGTGATTACAGAAGGAATGATGCTTGCGCAACTTGAACACAATGATGGTGTCGTGGGCAGGTGATTAAGTGGTCGTTTGAGAGGCCAGCGGCCTGCATGAACGAGTGTATGATGGTCGGGCCGACTAATCGAAAGCCCCTCCTAACCATGTCCTTGCTTATGGATTCCGATTTCGAAGTCTTCACTGGGATTTTGTGGCATGATTTGTACTTCGTTGCTATGGGTTTGTTGTTCACAAATCTCCACACGTATTTCTCAAACGATCCGAATTCCTTCTTGATCTGCAAATAATAAACATTTCATTATTTAAATCAGGAAAATCAAGTGAAATTGATGGAATCATTTATTTGCTATGATTACCAATTAGGTGTGTAGATATATAAGCCAACTGACTCGTGCACATGGTCCCATGTGGCATGTCGTCTTACTATTTACTAACAAAAGTTGATGTAGATAATGTATTATTAGATAATTGCGATGCTGACCTCGAGAATTCTGTTGGAGTTGTCGACTACACCTCGGACTTGACTCAAGTCTATTCCACAATCAGTATTAATCGAATTTATCTTCTTTTCGGAAAATTTTGAAACAATTTCTGCATCAAATCCTGAAAATGCATCCCTGGGATTGGATACGAATGCAATCAGATACAACAAAATAAAAGTTTTTTCTGATAATCTTAATTAAGAAGGCCCCTCACCTGAGGTCTTGTCTTTTCTTTAACACTGAAGTCCAATCTGATCCGAGTTGTGCACCAATTAACACCAACAATTCAAACAGCAGCCTGCAATTAATGCACACACCAAGAAATTAAAAACCCATATTTCAAATGTCTGTTTACATTCATACGAGTCTAGATCCGCTGTTCTGAGCTGTCTCTTTGGTTGTCACCAAAATCCATTTTGAGCCTTCAATGTCTAACTTTTCTTAAAAATGGGAAGACATTAACACAGTAATTTGCCATTAGGGGACAGCCAAGGAGGCAGCAAGTTCGAGATAGACTGCTTAATAAAAGAGAAAAATGGAGGCGAGAAGAAACCTACTTATCATCGTGGACGGGTACTCCCCATTCTTCGTCATGGTAGGTAACATATATTGGGTCTACACCACCATAGAAAATGAAATTAGTAACTAGATTTCTATCGGTGATAATCGAGTGGCATTAATTGATATGTCGTCATTTTGATTACCTGAATTTGGAGTGATGAAAGTGCATCGCTTTTCTTGATCTCGAACGGCAGCATTATTAGTAACCGAAGAAGAATGATGGCGATGATTATTATTATTATTATCAGGAACGACCTTCTTAATTGATTTAGTTCTTCCATAATGCGCGATACGCAATTTTCTTTGCTCTTGCATAATTGCAACTTGTTCTCTTCTAGCTGCCGCTATGCTTCCAGGTGCCTCGACTATGAGGGAGCTGGAAGAGCATTTCAACGAACCATTATCGCCAGATTGAGGGATACCTGATGATTTCTTGGACTTCTTCACTACTATTGCACTAGAAGCTTTAATATTCGAGGATTTTGGTGTCACGATGAGCCTGTCAATACTCGAGTTCAAATCATTACTTCTCTTGATAGCTGGCAGTCTTGGAGATTTCAGCTTAGGAGAGACCGGTGTGGTGGCTGTGGCAGTCGATGAGGGCGGCCTCACTTTGGCAGTTGCAGTCTTTTTAAGCGGCGAATTTGGTCTTTCCAATGAAGGGACGCGATTACAGTTGGGTTGAAGAACCCGGCGCTTATTAACACAAGTTGGCGAGGTGCTACCATCATGATTACAATGGTCTTGTGATTTAGACTTTGAGCTACACATCTCTTTGGTGCAACAATCTATTGAAAGAAGGAGACGGCGAGAGAAGGATCGACTCGAAAATGAAAAAGGATAAAGAACTTAATTAAGGATGTATGGATGAATGGTACATATATAAAAGGGATGGGTAGGGACAGAATTGTGGAATTAGTCACATGGAGGGGTTGAGGTCTGCCTGCCATACACAAGGACATGTACCCTCTTGTGAAGGGCACTTTTCTTGGGGGTTTAGAATATTGTATACATTTATTACTTATATGATTAATCAGGTATAACTCCCACCCCACCCCCAGACCCAATTGCTAGGCTGCTAATGAACCCTATTTCGCTTTACTGCTGTTTCATTGCCAACTCAATTGTTGGAGTGTGGATGAAGGTTTTTGGGGTTCAGAAAAAGACTTTGCTTTGCAGTTGGCTCAAATCCTCTTTCTATCACGTTCTCTGTCTCTCTTTAACTTTTTAAAATGTCTCGAGTAGTTAAGATTTCAGAGTTAATTAGTTGGAACTAATCAAGTAAAAAGTCAGGACAACTCCATAAAACAGCCTTTTGTCTAAATATTAATTAATTGGAGACCATTTTTTTCATAGATATCTTGATCTTGGGTTAGGGTTACAAGATCTTCAACGAAGTCGAACTCGAGACAACTAACTTGGTGACGGCGTGGCTCGTGAGCAATATTATTCACTTCTCGCCTCACAATCTTAATTATAATGACACCCTCGATCGCATGAAGTGGTGTTTTTTTGTTTATTGGACAACTACTTCGAGCATCTCGAGTTTACATAATTAACTTTATAATCGGTCCAACGAAGAGGTGGGTTCTTTCTTGGACGGCGGTTAAACAATCTAATTCAATCGTGGCAATGTCAAGACGATGTTAATGGACAATGACTAAACCCAATTTGACATTCTTATTTTATATTTTAAGTAGTTTGGTCTATGTAGTCTGCACGTTCCTCCAGGCTTGGGCATTGAAGGAATCTGCAACGGTCCCATGTGCCATATGCTCTAGCGATCTTTCACTATTTAAGTGTTAATCAATATGCCCCTTTCCCCTGCCTACATCCATTCTCATAAAATTGAGGAATCTTATTCCTTCGCGTCTTCACTAACGAAAAAAACTCCAATTCTTTGTCGATTTAAGTCGTCGAGAATTGCGGACGGGCGAAAAATAAAAGGACACAATCCATTAATTTCACGTATCGAATTTATAACTTAAGTCTAAAAATGTACAAGTTCGTGGACCACGCTCGTTCAATGTCATGTATATGATTTTTAATTTGTTTTGTTATTGTCAAATGTGTGTTTTGTTATTGTCAAATGGGAATTACGGAATTAACCCTTAACTAATATTAGATAAAGATGAAACATCCCATGTGCTTTATATCAACATAATGGAATCATGAATTATTAAGACATGAAGCCCGCAAAACACACGAGACATGTATTCTTATTCATAATCCTAAAAATAACATACTACGCGTGAACAACTATGAAACCATATACGTATGATCAGGGCTGGTCCTTTAATCGTCGAGGCCCGAGACGAAATCCAAAAATTAGGCCCCCAAAATCAACGTAAATGTAAAATTCAACGATATATTATGCAACATATTATTAACTTAAAACTTAAAATTACAACAACAAACAAATATCTCAATCATCTCACAATAATTGAAAAAAATATTTTCCTTTTCCTACTTAAAAAAAGAAAAAAAAAAAGAACGTTTGGGCCAAAATAGACCCTTTGTGGTTTTGGGCATGAGGCACAGGCCTCATTTGCCCGTGCCCAGGATCGGCCATGCGTATGATACAGATTAATGTACAATGATGGATAGGGAACTAGTTTTTTCAATAAAGTGAATAAAAATTTAATTGATGAATTAACTTGTGAATGTTGTTGTAATGTCTTTGTTAACCAAAACAGCATCTTGTAGTTCTTTCACAAAAGTAGAAACTCGTTGAAGTTATTTTTCCGCGAATAGAACTGATGGGTAAGAACAATGGAGTGTTCCATCAATGACTCGCTATGTTACCAGAATATACTAACAAAAAGCGAAGTAAAGTTATTTTTTTCTATTGCTTTCTAGGATGCCTTTTTTTTTTTTTTTTTTTTTTCCTTACGAAGGTATTTTCAATGGTCATTTCTGGTAATGAGCACGATCTCCTCTTTTGAGTGTTGGGATATGTTGTCTACAATTTATTAAAGTAAATAAATTATAATTGATCAGTCATTGTAAATAGTGAATCTCAGTATCACTTGGACGGTGCTTGATAATATTATTCTTTATTTTAGGGTCCGTTTGATTGTAAGGATGAAATTTGGGTGGAAAGAAAACGAATTTCAGATATTTGAATTGCCTAAAATTTGTTTTACTAGGAATTGACAATTAAATGTGTTTGATTGATATAATTTTTCATCTAGAAAATGTTGAAATTTTTTTATCTTTTGGTGTTCATTTGACTTTGTTTTTCATAGAAATTGTCAACTAAAGGGACAAAATTTATTACAATTTGAGATAGAATTTGTTCTAATTACCAAAAAAATAAAAATAAAAATAAAAAGAGTCTGGAAATCCAAATGGTGAGAATTTATTTTCCACAAAACCATGGAATTGGCACGTGTGTGGAGACAAGTAGGAAAACAAATTTCATAGAAATTTTTAGTAATCAAACAACACAAATTGGGTGAAAATGGAAAACGTTTTCCATTCTACATGGAAAATCAAGGATATCAAACATGGCCTTAGTGTCTTAGAGGGCCAACCCGATCGACCCATTTGTGACGTGATTTGTGAATCCACGTGAGGCCCAATATATCCTTTTGGGATGACCTAAGATATGAACAAATTGTTTCCTTTACAATTAGGATAAGCAATCCAAATTTCAAAGACCAAATTCAGTTCCAAGCAAAACTAAAATTTTGCCATTATATAACACATTACAAAGAAGTTATTTGTCTCTTGTTTTGCATATGATGCACATGCTTTTCAAAAAAATTATAGTTTATAAGGACCTTTTAAACTTAGCCCAACATGCTTGTCTTGAAACTGTCCCTGAAATAATGGGCCTGGGTTAAGAGGCCCAAACAATGGGGAAAATGCATGTCAACTAATAGGCTTTGCAATTGGGCTATTTAACAATTGGACTAATGGCTACCTACACTCACATAATGTGACTAACATAACACAATGCGGAAAGAACACTTTGACTAGGCCTATTCCTGAAAATAAACTAATTTATTGCTTGAGAACGATGTTAGATGTACATTCCAACTGATAGTCCCCTAATAGTGAGTGGAGCCAGCGATTAGAAGTTGTCAAACTAAGTGTACACCAAAGAGCATAGCGAACATTAAATAGAAAGTGAGAAAATTAGAGGAAATCACATTTTAAAGTTTTCATTATTAAAAATAAGGTATTATTTTTCTTATTCACAAATTAGGTATTTTATTTTAATAAATATTTCTAAATATATTTTTAGTATATGTTTCTATTTTGTCTCCAATTCCATTGATCGTGGTAATGTGTTATTTGTTGCAATTAAAAAAGAAAAAGAAATTCTTACTAGTTCAACATTATTTAGAGAGGAAAAAATATATATTTTTTTCTTTATTACCATTGTGAGAGGGGATTGTTATTAGATAGGAAGAACATCATGATCTCAATGGTCACACATAAACTACATATGTCACAATTATTGTATTTATTTTTTATTCACACGTGTTATCAAACCACAATTTTGAATTTCACATTAATACAATCAAAATAGTAAAGATGTCAAAATTTCACATGTCATGTAGGTCACAATTGACGCAATTTTGTTAACAATATAAACATAATTGCATTATGTAAAATTATTGATCACTTATTTAATTTATGTACGTGCTTAAATATCGATGGTCACATATAATTTTTGATATGAATATCATACTACTGTTTACAAGGAACAAAATATTACAAGTTATTAAACAATATAAACACACATTTATGAATTTCAAACCCGTCTGTACTGTGACACTGATGATGATGATTTTTTCATGTTGTGACCTGTAGAATTGTGGTTGTTATCGAAAAACATATGGAGAAAATTATGATTCCATCAGAGGAGTCAAAATATGGGAGATAGTAAGTGTGATTAGATTTTTAGGAAAGAAATATAATGAAAAAGAAAAATCAATTATTCTTTAGTAATATATCTTTATTTTATATAAATTCATTATTATTTATCCTCATATTAAAATCTTAGAATCTGATTTGATTGTGAATAATTTTTCAAACTTTATATTTTTGAAAACGTAATATATTAAAATATCGTAATTTCAATTGTTCACGAATTAAATTATACTTTGAGAAGTCCAATGAAGTGCTGAGTTACATTCTGAAACAACAAACTCAACTCTCAACAGAGAGAAGCAAGAGACCCTCAACCCCAATCTGTTTGCTAAATATGCCTCTAAGCGCAACGATGGTGGGAGCCCTGCTGGGACTGGGTACCCAGATGTACTCCAATGCCCTTCGCAAGCTTCCTTACATGCGCCGTAAGCTCCCTCCCCCTCTCTATTTTATCGTTATTGTAGGAACTATATAGGGACTGATCACTGATGTGATTAATTTCCAAGAAATTTGCAGATCCATGGGAGCATTTGCTGGGAATGGGGCTGGGCGCGGTTTTCGCTAATCAGATGGTAAAGTGGGAAGTCAAAGCCCAGGAAGATCTCGACAAGTTACTTCTCAAGGCCAAACAAGCCAATGAACGCCGCTACTTTGGTAACCTATTTGTTTTTCTGTATATTTCTGAGTTGTGACTATTGTGACAGGTATTGAGTAATGACTGGATTGTTTTGAATTGTGGAGATTTAATGAAAATTTTGCCTTTTCACTTGTTTCAATAGCTTGAGTAGAGATCATGTTATCTTTATTTTACCAGTTAATCTGGACACATTGCATCTCCAGGGTCGAACTCTTTGCACAAAAGTAGAAATGAAAAGAGATACTTGCATAGTTGTCATTCACAATTCAAAGTATACATTACATTACATAAATACAAGCAAACAATACAAAAAACTCAAATAAATCTGAAATTAAAATCCCCTAATAGAGAAAAAGAAAAGCAAGCAATAATGGAGATAAAGATGTGGATGTGCTATTCTCAGGCACATGCATTCATGGACCCAACACATGACCACATGCACTCTGTTTCCCACCAACACTCTTAACTTCTTTATTCCTTCCTCCCTAATTCATTTTTAGTTTAAGTAACTCTCTCATTAATTATAAGCTAATAAACACTCACTTCATCAAACCTATAATCCAAAAGGAATCGACTATGTTAGGCAATCAACTAATTAATCAGCTTTTGGTCGGTCGGTTTATTTAAAAAAACATAATTTGATCTCGAACCAATGTGATTACAGAAGGAATGATGCTTGCGCAACTTGAACACAATGATGGTGTCGTGGGCAGGTGATTAAGTGGTCGTTTGAGAGGCCAGCGGCCTGCATGAACGAGTGTATGATGGTCGGGCCGACTAATCGAAAGCCCCTCCTAACCATGTCCTTGCTTATGGATTCCGATTTCGAAGTCTTCACTGGGATTTTGTGGCATGATTTGTACTTCGTTGCTATGGGTTTGTTGTTCACAAATCTCCACACGTATTTCTCAAACGATCCGAATTCCTTCTTGATCTGCAAATAATAAACATTTCATTATTTAAATCAGGAAAATCAAGTGAAATTGATGGAATCATTTATTTGCTATGATTACCAATTAGGTGTGTAGATATATAAGCCAACTGACTCGTGCACATGGTCCCATGTGGCATGTCGTCTTACTATTTACTAACAAAAGTTGATGTAGATAATGTATTATTAGATAATTGCGATGCTGACCTCGAGAATTCTGTTGGAGTTGTCGACTACACCTCGGACTTGACTCAAGTCTATTCCACAATCAGTATTAATCGAATTTATCTTCTTTTCGGAAAATTTTGAAACAATTTCTGCATCAAATCCTGAAAATGCATCCCTGGGATTGGATACGAATGCAATCAGATACAACAAAATAAAAGTTTTTTCTGATAATCTTAATTAAGAAGGCCCCTCACCTGAGGTCTTGTCTTTTCTTTAACACTGAAGTCCAATCTGATCCGACTTGTGCACCAATTAACACCAACAATTCAAACAGCAGCCTGCAATTAATGCACACACCAAGAAATTAAAAACCCATATTTCAAATGTCTGTTTACATTCATACGAGTCTAGATCCGCTGTTCTGAGCTGTCTCTTTGGTTGTCACCACAATCCATTTTGAGCCTTCAATGTCTAACTTTTCTTAAAAATGGGAAGACATTAACACAGTAATTTGCCATTAGGGGACAGCCAAGGAGGCAGCAAGTTCGAGATAGACTGCTTAATAAAAGAGAAAAATGGAGGCGAGAAGAAACCTACTTATCATCGTGGACGGGTACTCCCCATTCTTCGTCATGGTAGGTAACATATATTGGGTCTACACCACCATAGAAAATGAAATTAGTAACTAGATTTCTATCGGTGATAATCGAGTGGCATTAATTGATATGTCGTCATTTTGATTACCTGAATTTGGAGTGATGAAAGTGCATCGCTTTTCTTGATCTCGAACAGCAGCATTATTAGTAACCGAAGAAGAATGATGGCGATGATTATTATTATTATTATCAGGAACGACCTTCTTAATTGATTTAGTTCTTCCATAATGCGCGATACGCAATTTTCTTTGCTCTTGCATAATTGCAACTTGTTCTCTTCTAGCTGCCGCTATGCTTCCAGGTGCCTCGACTATGAGGGAGCTGGAAGAGCATTTCAACGAACCATTATCGCCAGATTGAGGGATACCTGATGATTTCTTGGACTTCTTCACTACTATTGCACTAGAAGCTTTAATATTCGAGGATTTTGGTGTCACGATGAGCCTGTCAATACTCGAGTTCAAATCATTACTTCTCTTGATAGCTGGCAGTCTTGGAGATTTCAGCTTAGGAGAGACCGGTGTGGTGGCTGTGGCAGTCGATGAGGGCGGCCTCACTTTGGCAGTTGCAGTCTTTTTAAGCGGCGAATTTGGTCTTTCCAATGAAGGGACGCGATTACAGTTGGGTTGAAGAACCCGGCGCTTATTAACACAAGTTGGCGAGGTGCTACCATCATGATTACAATGGTCTTGTGATTTAGACTTTGAGCTACACATCTCTTTGGTGCAACAATCTATTGAAAGAAGGAGACGGCGAGAGAAGGATCGACTCGAAAATGAAAAAGGATAAAGAACTTAATTAAGGATGTATGGATGAATGGTACATATATAAAAGGGATGGGTAGGGACAGAATTGTGGAATTAGTCACATGGAGGGGTTGAGGTCTGCCTGCCATACACAAGGACATGTACCCTCTTGTGAAGGGCACTTTTCTTGGGGGTTTAGAATATTGTGTACATTTATTACTTATATGATTAATCAGGTATAACTCCCACCCCACCCCCAGACCCAATTGCTAGGCTGCTAATGAACCCTATTTCGCTTTACTGCTGTTTCATTGCCAACTCAATTGTTGGAGTGTGGATGAAGGTTTTTGGGGTTCAGAAAAAGACTTTGCTTTGCAGTTGGCTCAAATCCTCTTTCTATCACGTTCTCTGTCTCTCTTTAACTTTTTAAAATGTCTCGAGTAGTTAAGATTTCAGAGTTAATTAGTTGGAACTAATCAAGTAAAAAGTCAGGACAACTCCATAAAACAGCCTTTTGTCTAAATATTAATTAATTGGAGACCATTTTTTTCATAGATATCTTGATCTTGGGTTAGGGTTACAAGATCTTCAACGAAGTCGAACTCGAGACAACTAACTTGGTGACGGCGTGGCTCGTGAGCATATTATTCACTTCTCGCCTCACAATCTTAACTATAATGACACCCTCGATCGCATGAAGTGGTGTTTTTTTGTTTATTGGACAACTACTTCGAGCATCTCGAGTTTACATAATTAACTTTATAATCGGTCCAACGAAGAGGTGGGTTCTTTCTTGGACGGCGGTTAAACAATCTAATTCAATCGTGGCAATGTCAAGACGATGTTAATGGACAATGACTAAACCCAATTTGACATTCTTATTTTATATTTTAAGTAGTTTGGTCTATGTAGTCTGCACGTTCCTCCAGGCTTGGGCATTGAAGGAATCTGCAACGGTCCCATGTGCCATATGCTCTAGCGATCTTTCACTATTAAAGTGTTAATCAATATGCCCCTTTCCCCTGCCTACATCCATTCTCATAAAATTGAGGAATCTTATTCCTTCGCGTCTTCACTAACGAAAAAAACTCCAATTCTTTGTCGATTTAAGTCGTCGAGAATTGCGGACGGGCGAAAAATAAAAGGACACAATCCATTAATTTCACGTATCGAATTTATAACTTAAGTCTAAAAATGTACAAGTTCGTGGACCACGCTCGTTCAATGTCATGTATATGATTTTTAATTTGTTTTGTTATTGTCAAATGTGTGTTTTGTTATTGTCAAATGGGAATTACGGAATTAACCCTTAACTAATATTAGATAAAGATGAAACATCCCATGTGCTTTATATCAACATAATGGAATCATGAATTATTAAGACATGAAGCCGGCAAAACACACGAGACATGTATTCTTATTCATAATCCTAAAAATAACATACTACGCGTGAACAACTATGAAACCATATACGTATGATCAGGGCTGGTCCTTTAATCGTCGAGGCCCGAGACGAAATCCAAAAATTAGGCCCCCAAAATCAACGTAAATGTAAAATTCAACGATATATTATGCAACATATTATTAACTTAAAACTTAAAATTACAACAACAAACAAATATCTCAATCATCTCACAATAATTGAAAAAAATATTTTCCTTTTCCTACTTAAAAAAAGAAAAAAAAAAAGAACGTTTGGGCCAAAATAGACCCTTTGTGGTTTTGGGCATGAGGCACAGGCCTCATTTGCCCGTGCCCAGGATCGGCCATGCGTATGATACAGATTAATGTACAATGATGGATAGGGAACTAGTTTTTTCAATAAAGTGAATAAAAATTTAATTGATGAATTAACTTGTGAATGTTGTTGTAATGTCTTTGTTAACCAAAACAGCATCTTGTAGTTCTTTCACAAAAGTAGAAACTCGTTGAAGTTATTTTTCCGCGAATAGAACTGATGGGTAAGAACAATGGAGTGTTCCATCAATGACTCGCTATGTTACCAGAATATACTAACAAAAAGCGAAGTAAAGTTATTTTTTTCTATTGCTTTCTAGGATGCCTTTTTTTTTTTTTTTTTTTTTTCCTTACGAAGGTATTTTCAATGGTCATTTCTGGTAATGAGCACGATCTCCTCTTTTGAGTGTTGGGATATGTTGTCTACAATTTATTAAAGTAAATAAATTATAATTGATCAGTCATTGTAAATAGTGAATCTCAGTATCACTTGGACGGTGCTTGATAATATTATTCTTTATTTTAGGGTCCGTTTGATTGTAAGGATGAAATTTGGGTGGAAAGAAAACGAATTTCAGATATTTGAATTGCCTAAAATTTGTTTTACTAGGAATTGACAATTAAATGTGTTTGATTGATATAATTTTTCATCTAGAAAATGTTGAAATTTTTTTATCTTTTGGTGTTCATTTGACTTTGTTTTTCATAGAAATTGTCAACTAAAGGGACAAAATTTATTACAATTTGAGATAGAATTTGTTCTAATTACCAAAAAAATAAAAATAAAAATAAAAAGAGTCTGGAAATCCAAATGGTGAGAATTTATTTTCCACAAAACCATGGAATTGGCACGTGTGTGGAGACAAGTAGGAAAACAAATTTCATAGAAATTTTTAGTAATCAAACAACACAAATTGGGTGAAAATGGAAAACGTTTTCCATTCTACATGGAAAATCAAGGATATCAAACATGGCCTTAGTGTCTTAGAGGGCCAACCCGATCGACCCATTTGTGACGTGATTTGTGAATCCACGTGAGGCCCAATATATCCTTTTGGGATGACCTAAGATATGAACAAATTGTTTCCTTTACAATTAGGATAAGCAATCCAAATTTCAAAGACCAAATTCAGTTCCAAGCAAAACTAAAATTTTGCCATTATATAACACATTACAAAGAAGTTATTTGTCTCTTGTTTTGCATATGATGCACATGCTTTTCAAAAAAATTATAGTTTATAAGGACCTTTTAAACTTAGCCCAACATGCTTGTCTTGAAAGTGTCCCTGAAATAATGGGCCTGGGTTAAGAGGCCCAAACAATGGGGAAAATGCATGTCAACTAATAGGCTTTGCAATTGGGCTATTTAACAATTGGACTAATGGCTACCTACACTCACATAATGTGACTAACATAACACAATGCGGAAAGAACACTTTGACTAGGCCTATTCCTGAAAATAAACTAATTTATTGCTTGAGAACGATGTTAGATGTACATTCCAACTGATAGTCCCCTAATAGTGAGTGGAGCCAGCGATTAGAAGTTGTCAAACTAAGTGTACACCAAAGAGCATAGCGAACATTAAATAGAAAGTGAGAAAATTAGAGGAAATCACATTTTAAAGTTTTCATTATTAAAAATAAGGTATTATTTTTCTTATTCACAAATTAGGTATTTTATTTTAATAAATATTTCTAAATATATTTTTAGTATATGTTTCTATTTTGTCTCCAATTCCATTGATCGTGGTAATGTGTTATTTGTTGCAATTAAAAAAAAAAGGAATTCTTACTAGTTCAACATTATTTAGAGAGGAAAAAATATATTTTTTTTTCTTTATTACCATTGTGAGAGGGGATTGTTATTAGATAGGAAGAACATCATGATCTCAATGGTCACACATAAACTACATATGTCACAATTATTGTATTTATTTTTTATTCACACGTGTTATCAAACCACAATTTTGAATTTCACATTAATACAATCAAAATAGTAAAGATGTCAAAATTTCACATGTCATGTAGGTCACAATTGACGCAATTTTGTTAACAATATAAACATAATTGCATTATGTAAAATTATTGATCACTTATTTAATTTATGTACGTGCTTAAATATCGATGGTCACATATAATTTTTGATATGAATATCATACTACTGTTTACAAGGAACAAAATATTACAAGTTATTAAACAATATAAACACACATTTATGAATTTCAAACCCGTCTGTACTGTGACACTGATGATGATGATTTTTTCATGTTGTGACCTGTAGAATTGTGGTTGTTATCGAAAAACATATGGAGAAAATTATGATTCCATCAGAGGAGTCAAAATATGGGAGATAGTAAGTGTGATTAGATTTTTAGGAAAGAAATATAATGAAAAAGAAAAATCAATTATTCTTTAGTAATATATCTTTATTTTATATAAATTCATTATTATTTATCCTCATATTAAAATCTTAGAATCTGATTTGATTGTGAATAATTTTTCAAACTTTATATTTTTGAAAACGTAATATATTAAAATATCGTAATTTCAATTGTTCACGAATTAAATTATACTTTGAGAAGTCCAATGAAGTGCTGAGTTACATTCTGAAACAACAAACTCAACTCTCAACAGAGAGAAGCAAGAGACCCTCAACCCCAATCTGTTTGCTAAATATGCCTCTAAGCGCAACGATGGTGGGAGCCCTGCTGGGACTGGGTACCCAGATGTACTCCAATGCCCTTCGCAAGCTTCCTTACATGCGCCGTAAGCTCCCTCCCCCTCTCTATTTTATCGTTATTGTAGGAACTATATAGGGACTGATCACTGATGTGATTAATTTCCAAGAAATTTGCAGATCCATGGGAGCATTTGCTGGGAATGGGGCTGGGCGCGGTTTTCGCTAATCAGATGGTAAAGTGGGAAGTCAAAGCCCAGGAAGATCTCGACAAGTTACTTCTCAAGGCCAAACAAGCCAATGAACGCCGCTACTTTGGTAACCTATTTGTTTTTCTGTATATTTCTTCGATACTTAGGAGATCATATATATATATATATATATATATACATATACATATATATATATACATATACATATATATATTCAAATTTACAAAAACAAATTTCAAACTTTTAAATGTCTAAATTAAATTTACTCTTCTAGAATTTTTTGATAGAAAATCAACAATTATTCTATTACAATCAATTTGTTTTAGAACTTCTTTTTCAATAGATACTTCTATAAGCAATCCACACATTTGGAAAACAGTCCATCATTTTTATGTAGTCCAACACTTCATTCGCCTTTTTAGTATTTTCCGGCAAACTATTTCTCACAATTTGTAGCTCAGAAAATAACTCCGATTCATCAATGTCAAAATCCATGTCGTGTTTCAAAAATTCTTCGAGCTTATCACACCAACTCTTCAAACAACTATCATCTGCATTCTCCAATTTTTTTAAATCAAACAAAAACCCAAAAGTATTTTCATATTTTTGAAATTGTTCAAATCTTAACCTAAGCGAAGAAAGAGCTTGATCAACTATATACAAAAAATAATCTACTCTAAATGATTCTTCGGCTGAATGTGTTATCTCGTCATTAACATTTTCATCAAAGTGCTTCTTTCTCTGAATAATACGTTTTTCATGAAATGTAGGTTCAACTTCCATTTGATCAGCAATTTCTTTAGCAGTAATTTTGTCAGATTCAAATCCAATTTCTCTATATGTTTCAAAAAATGAAATAAGTGCTTTCATGTGACTAATAACAGTATCAATAGACATATCTTCACTTTGCAACATTTTGCTTAATCTATTAATAGCAGACAATATATTATACCAAATAACTATGCCAAACAAGAACTCAAAATCCATAATGTCAGCAAATAAGCTTTGAGCATCTCTATATGTCTTAGGATCATCACATGTTTCCACCAAGTGTTTTAAAGCGGCTTTTATTTCTAGTGCTTGAAATCTTATTGCTTTAACACTTTCGACTTGACTTTCCCAACGTTTTTGTGATAGTGGCTTAAGCGTCAGACCTTTCACTTTGTCTTGAAAAAATTTTCATCGCTTTGTAGAAGATGAAAACAATATATATATGCATTGTACAATTCCAAAAAAAGATTTAGCTTTTATACAAGAATTTACCATATCACAAAGTGCAAGATTAAGGCTATGACAACTAGATGGTGTGTAAAATGCCCTTGGATTTACTTCTAGTACTCTTTTCTGTAAACTTTTATGCTTCCCTTTCATATTAGAACCGTTATTATAACCTTGACATCTTAAATCACCAATATTAAGTTCAAGTGTTTTCAAAATATCTAATAATTCACCAAACAATCCTTGCCCCGAAGTTTCATCCACCTTAAGGAATCCTAAAAAATACTCCTGTACTTTTACTGGAGTTGCTATGACATCTACATATCGTATTATGAGTGACATTTGTTCTTCATGACTTATATCTGGTGTACAATCAAGTATAACTGAAAAATATTTTGCTTCTCTAACATTTTGAATGATTGCACTTTTGATTTCTCCAGCCAACATGAGTATGAATTCATTTTGAATTTTGTGACTAAGATAATGATTATGAATTTATTTCTCTTGAATACGACGGATGTGTTCCCTCAAAATTGGATCGAACTTTGCAATCACTTCAATTAGACCTAAAAAATTCCCATCATCTTTTTCATAAATTTTCTCATTAGTCCCCCGAAATGCGAGATTATTCTTGCATAGAAAGCCAACAATAGAAATTATCCTCACAAAACTTCTCTCCAATGTTCTCTATCTTTGTTGATTAGATCTTGCATAGCTTTATCAATTGTTAGATTCTGTTGTAATCTCCTTTCCAGTTCAATCTATCTTCTCATGTTATGCATGTGTCCATTACTAGTTTCATGACTTTTAAGCCTGAAACTAAGATTTTTCCAATCATTGATTCCTTCATTAGCTAATTGAACATTGTTTCCTTCTTGCTTAAACAATTTACAACAAAAGCAAAATACTTTATCCAATAAAATTGAGTAGACCAACCATTTTCTATCACTCTTCTCACCATTTGTTAAATGCCGAATATAATATGTAGAAGAGAAATGCCTATTTTCTAAATCTTTTGGAAAAATAAGACCATCCTGCCTAAGGGGGCCTCTTTTCACTAACAAGTCTATCAAGCTTTGATCAATAGTTTTCCAATTTCCCGGATCATTAATGTCGAAATGCAAAGGTACACATTTTTCAATTTCCTCCATATTTTCTTGCTCATGATCCACTGAAATTTCATACTCTCTATTCATATTATCTTCACTTTAAACCTTTTCATTTTCAAATTCTTCATCAACCAAATCTTTCATCGGACTTTCTCTTTTATTATTAATATTACTACCAAGAAACTTGTCCATAGCTCCTACTTGATATTGAATAAACTCTTCAGTTTTTTTTTCTTTTTTCATGTCCAGACAAATACTTTCTAGTAGACAGGTTAAAGCAGTACAACAATTCAACAAAACAAAATCAATACAAAAATACGAGATTAAACTTTAAATTAGTTGAGGAACAATAAAACCTGGTCCATGCCATTTTTCCTTTATTGTGTGTGCATAAGAGATGGCTGCAGCCTCCAAGTTTGCTGATGAGTGATGCCTCCAATAACGCTGCATGGACGGTGGGGGGAAAGAAAAAGTGAGACAAAAATGGAAGATGATATTTTTCACATATGTAATCTATTTGCTAGCCTGCACTTTTGGATTATGCATAAACAATTTGAAAATGAATTGAAAACATTAAGTTTTGAAATTGATTAGTGATTAGCGGATTTTGTTAAAGAAAAATGCAATGGTAGTGAGAGAAGACCCGAGCGTATGCTAATATCTTCAAAATTAAACATTCAAAGAGAGAATTAATTTTATGTTGGGTTTAAAAAAAATTAATTGTAAGTGACTGTTGGAGTGGAATTTGAAGAGATAAAAAAGACTTTTTGTCTTTTAAGAAAAAGAAAAGGGATTTTTGGAAGATAAATTGTCAAATTAATTATATAGAGAGAGAAAGTTATGATTATGATATATTTACACAATAAATACATGTAAGTATTTATAAATTTATACGTTTTTTAAAAAAAAATTGCATTTTTAATTTTTATTAATTTCTTGTGTTCACATATGACAATTCTTTTTTAAATAACTACACTAATATAATTTTCATTTTTCTTTGACTACCCATAATCTTACAGAATTTGGGGGCCCTCGTCAAAGTGGGCCTTAGGCGATCGCTTATATCGCCTATACTTAGGGCCACCACTGGTCTAACGTCTTTTTGACCTAAAGTTTGGTTCTTTTGTCAATTGAGGAGTTATGTTATTGGCTTCTTGCTATCTTCTTCTAAGGATGACGTAATTTGACACCCGATGTGCTTTGGACAAGATTAAAATTTAAGGTTTCAAGATCAAAGATGGCCTTTTATGGTCGCATCGCCCAACTTCTACCATGGACTTGTCCTTATCTTGATGTGTATCTTTTACCCATGATTTAATTTTAGTTGATGAACAGGGAGAAAATGATTAGAAAAAACAGAAACTACAGAAATTTCCCAATAGGCCTGCATTCCCTTATTTATATGGCATTGGCTCTTTATTTGCTGCCTCTTAGTTGAAGGGAAATGCATATATGCATATAGAGAGATGTTGATGGCAGGAAAAAGTTGATGTTGCTAAAGAGAGGGGGAAATACTGCCTTCTCTTCCTCCGATTGAAGAGAAGACAAAATGTGATGGTAATTTCGCAGCTGCTGTGGGGTCCAACAAGGGAAAGGAATGTGGTGATTTTCCAATTGGATACAATAGGTGAGTTCTATTGAGAACCTGTCACTGTGCTCCAGTACTAACGACGTAGAAACCTTGTAGTGATCATTGATTCATTGTAGAGATAGAAGGAAAAAATAGGTAATGTTATTGTTGTTTTTATACTGTGAGGAAGGAGAAAAGGCTAGAACTTATATTATAGATAACGAAGTTTGAAATTAACTCTTTCTTTTCTAATTTAATTAGGCCAGGGGATCTATAGTTCCCAAACTTTAGCCTTTATGACTGTTGGGGGCTAGGGAAACTTTTGCTGATAGTGTGCTCGCAAAATAGTAAGCTGACACAAATTTCATATTTTCTTGTATTTTTTTTTCCCACCTCACTATCTTCTTTCACAAACAGAGATGATTAAGTTCTGTTGGTGTGTGACTGGAATCAGGCAATGGTGAGACTCATGATTGAGACTTCTGTTTTGCATATTATTAGTTTGGGAGTCTGAAAGTAAGCGATTTAGATTTGGGTTTTGTGTTTTTTTTTCCCTCTTTTGTGTCTATCTATCTTATATATAGTTTCTGAGATCCATTGGCTTTGTGAATGTGTATGTGGATATACATGGAGGGGAAAGGCCTGTGGTCTGTAACTGTGCCATAACAAAGAACAAATGAAACTCTCAGACAGCGGAGAAGGTTGACTGCCCCCACCTTTCTGGATTTAGCCCTTTGTTTACATTCTACCTCTTAAGTTTCGTTAATAATACTTTGAAAAGAAATCTGATAGAACCTCAAATTAGTAGTTAGTTCAATTGTCATTTAAGTTGAGGATATAATGGGATTTAGAAGAATAAGTAGTATGGGCAGGCAACTATCTACAAAAATGGGAAGATAGTTTCATTTGGTGATATTCAGAAAATGGGAAATTAGTGTGGGGGAGAGAGTTGAACCTCTCGAAATTTCTCATTTCATTGTATCCATTTCAATATCAATTCTGCTCTCCATTTAGCACAGAAAATCAAATACAGTTTGCTACAATTTTATTATGTTCTTCCATTATAGAAGTAAATCAGCAGGATCTTACCAAAATCTTATTTTGCTCAATCATTCTGTACCTCATGTGGTTAATAAAGTTTTCTCTATCAAAGAGATTGGCCATAGTTGGTCTTACCATCTTAAGTTTTCTGTGTGCTGTAGTTTGTCTGCATCTGGCTCCTTAAAACCTTCCCCTGTAATCCGTCTGATTTATTTCTGACTTTTAATTGCAGATGATGATGAAGACTAAAAGTTAGGTGGAACATGTTGAAACGCATTTGCTTTGGAATTCACTTGTCAAAGAATGTAGCATCCGTGCTAGTTCTTGTTATGGGTTGTAGACAATTGTTTGCCTAATCTATTGTCACCTTTTCTGAGGTTTTAGCACTTCCCTTTCTGTATGATTTACTGCCCACGAGCTCTGCTATGCAGCAATATTTGTTAATGGCAATTTGCATGTTTGAGGTGTATTTTTAAAAATAAAATCCTGTTGCTACAAACCTATTTTGAAAAGGAGATTATAAATATGCATAAAACAGCAAATGCATTGCTAAGTGTTGATCTACTATGCACATTATTTCCTCTGCTTCATTTATATGCATGCTTGTAATGCTTGTCTACTTAATGGACTCCACTGGCATTGTAAAAAATTGCAAATGCATCGGCTTTTTATTCACAAAGGCCCGAGGAAAACGTTAGGGGCGTACACAGTTGCAAGTTTGCTTGTGATAAATGATAGAAATGCATGTGATTCCATATGACAAACTTGCAATGCCTTGTCTTAAGCAATAGCAAAAGGCAATTGTTTATTAAGTTGGAATATGTATAATTAGTATTACAGTTGAATGATTTGTGTTAACCATCTTAATTTTTAACGTTTCATAAACAGATTGCCTGTAAGAACTCAGGCAGTGATATATAGAAGAAACCCGAATGGACAAATAGTTGCCTTGCTATAAAGTTAGCTATTACATACCATTATATCCAACGAAAGTTAAATTTCACCAAAATGCGTAGAAAAAACTGTGGGAGGTAGTGAAGATTAACATTTTCACTCAATTTTACTCGAACAGTGAGAGGGAATCAATAAAAAACCAAGTAATAGGTTGGTAAACACTGGCATATTCCTAGTCGAGATTCTGAAATAACCTTTTCAAATCATGCTTATCAATCATCTGGGCTCATTTTCTCAGACTGAACCATCCTATCGTTAAATACATGTATGAGGAGATCACAAGCGTGCCGTGATGATGGTCTTTCTGCAGGTGCAGTTTTTGTGCACTGCAAGGCTATTTCTAACACTTGGAATGCAGCAGCTTCTTCTTTGGGTAAGAGTGGCTTTAGCAAAGGATCAATTAGCTCCTGACGTTCAGATCCTTGCATTTCCATTCGTGACTCGACCCATCTAACCATGTCTATATCTACACCGAAGCTCCCACTTGTTGGCATTCTTCCACTTACTAGCTCCATCAGCACAATACCCATGCTGTAAACATCACACTTCTCTGTCGCCTTTAAGGAATAAGCATACTCTGGAATTGCAAAATCATGTTAGGAATTTGAAATCAACACTGTTCGTTCAGCTAATTAAAAAATGAATTTATATTACTGACTGACAATTTATAGAGAGCATATGCTTTAGTACCTGGAGCAATGTAGCCATAAGAACCTGCAAACCACAAATTCGACTCAGTACCTAGGGAGTCATAATCATTTGTGAGCGATTTTGCCAGCCCAAAATCTCCCAGGTGTGCCTCCATGTTTGCGTCTAATAACAGATTGCTAGATTTAACATCTCTGTGAATGATCTTGGGCACGCAATCATGGTGAAGATACTCCAGCCCCTGTGCTAATCCCACCGCTATCTTCAATCTTGCTTCCCAGTCTAGGCTCTTCTTCTTCTTCTTATCACTCATTGTTTGCTTATGCAACCAATCCCACAAACTTCCATTCTCCATGTACTCATAGATCAACAAATTGGCGCCTGCTCCTTGATTACTACAATACCCCAACAATCTCACTAGATGCCTGTGCCTTATCCTTCCAAGAGTTCTAATTTCCCTTTCAAAGCTTCTGGCCAACAACAGATCATCTTTCCTTGGTATTCTCTTGATTGCCACTGTTTCTCCTGTGAATAACTCAGCTTTATAGATAGTTCCCGATCCTCCAGATCCAATTATGAACTCATCGCTTAGATTGTTAGTGGCGTTCATGATGTCCACCCATCTAAAATCACGCTTGGCAGCAGCATTGTCGAATAAAGGCCGCCTTTGTGCCTGGGAAGAATGGGAAGAGTAAGCAGAATCCACTTCACTGGCTCTTTTAAGCGCTGCTCGTTTGTGTTTGAAAAGGACGGCAGCTCCAAGTAATAGAAGAACAATTGCAAATGTAGTTGATATTGCAGATATTAGCACCACTGATGAATCACTTGGACCCGATTCCTGATGGGAGGCCTCTAGGTCCTTGCATATTTGAAGAGGACTTCCACAAAGATTCACGTTCCCAGCAAAAGCATCGGCCGGCCAGTGTGCATATAGCTTGTCCAATTTTCCTTGAAGGTGGTTGTAGGAGAAGTTTGCTCTTCCTAAGCTTCTCATCTCACCCACTTGAGGAAGTCCTCCAGTGAGTTGGTTGTGTGATAGATCGAGCATTTCGAGTTTGGACAGTGTTCCAATGGAAGCTGGGATCTTTCCAGAGAGGTTATTGTAACTGAAATCTAGGATGCTTTGCAGATTATGGAGCTGTCCTATCTCATCTGGTATTTGACCACGAAAGCTGTTTCGAGAAAGCCGGAGTTCATAGAGCTTGTTTAATTGACCAATAGTGGGAGGCATAGGACCAGAAAGTTGGTTGCTGTCAAGATTAAGAACATTGAGAGATTCGAGTTTACCAATTTCAGGAGGGAGGGAACCAGTAAGTGAATTCTTACTGAGAGACAGGACCAGAAGCTTCGAGCAATTGAATAATTCGGGAGGAAGAGAACCAGAAAATCGATTGGAATTGAGCTTCAACTCACCCAATAGAGGAAGACTCCCAATCCAAGATGGAATCGGCCCAGAAAGAAGGTTGTTATCGAGATCAAGATGGGTCAATTTCTTGCACAGGGAAAGCTGGGATGGCACCTGTCCAGTAAGAGAATTGCCTGAGAGATCTAATAGAGACAGTTCTTGGATTAAACCTAGTTTCCAAGGGATTTTGCCCGTGAATTGGTTATTCCCTAGCCTTAATCTTTCCAGCGAAGGTGAATTTCCAATCTGATAAGGAATATCTTGATCAAATGCATTGTTTGTGACATCAAAAGACAGAAAAGATCGTGAACTGCAGAGTGGAGCAATGCTACCATTTAGTCTGTTATGCGAAAGATTGACCCTCGTCAGATTTGCAACATTGATAAGCTCATCAGGTAGATTGCCTTCAAGAGAATTATTGTATAGCATTAGCTGCTCCAGAGCTCGAAGATTCCCAAAACTCGCTGGAATGCTGCCCGACAATCGGTTATCCGCCAAATCAAGAATGGTTAGTTGATGGCAGCTGCCCAAACTAGCGGGAACCTCGCCCGAAAGATCATTCTGTCTGAGGTGAATGAAATCCAGCTGCTTCAGCTTTCCAATAGAAATGGGAATCTGCCCTGTAAATTGATTACCAAAGAAATCAATCATTTGCAAACTGGAGCAGTTACCAATCTGTACTGGGATCTCTCCAGATAGTTGATTGTCATAGAGATATATTATCTGAAGATTCCCTAGCATTCCAATCTCTTTAGGTAGATTGCCCCGTAAGTTGTTTTGGTACAATGCCAGTGTCTGCAGATTGGTTAGGTTCGCTATGAGTGGAGATATTGAACCAACCAAAGTGTTATTGTTAAGCATGAGATCAGTCAATTGAATCAACTCGTAAAGTTCTAATGGTATCGACCCATTTAGCGTATTATTGGACAAATCAAGTTGCATCAGTGACCTGCAGTCCCTTAGTTCCACTGGAATTCTACCTGAAAGCTGATTTTGGGCTAGCATCAAGTGTTGCAAACTGGTGGCATTGGAACATATGCTTTTTGGAATTTCACCAGTGAGATTGTTGCTTGATAGTACTAGGTAAACCAGCTGACTCATGCTACCAAATTCTCCAGGAATTGGACCCGTGAGCTTGTTCGCAGACAAGTCTAGATTATGAAGATTAACCAAGTTCGTTAGTGTCTTTGGGACCGAACCTTCAAGTTGATTACCAAGTAGATTGAGATATTCCAGCTCATCGAGTTCACCAAGCTGCGTTGGAAGCTCTCCAGAGAGTGTATTGTTAGCCAGGTTCAGTAATTGAAGATTCTGAAGATCACCCAACTCTGAAGGGATTGATCCACTGAGATTGTTCACTGCAGCTGTGAACACAACAAGGCTAGTGCAGTTACCAATCTCAGGTGGAATTGGACCTTCCAGCTGATTTTGCTGTAAGACTAAATTCTGAATTCGGCCGAGCCTACCAAGTTCTGGCGGTATTCGACCACTGAGATTGCACGAAGCCAATCCAAGAACGACCAACTTTTCGAGATTACCAAAAGTAGCTGGAATTGGCCCTGTAAGACCATTGTCGCCAATTCTAAGAACTTGAAGATTTTTAAAGGAGCCCAGTTGAGTTGGAACGGGACCAGAAAGTTGGTTTGAAAAAAGAAGCAAAGATTCCAAAGATGAAAGGTTCGAAAGAGTAGATGGAATGGGGCCTGAAAGTCTGTTATAAGAAAGATCAAGGTGGAGCAGGTTATGCAAGAGCCCGAGTGAAGGTGATATCGACCCACTGAGTGAAGAATCTGATAGATTTAGACTCACCACTCGACTCTTTGAACACAACACACCGCTCCATGTACAGAATTTTCGATTGTTTTCAGACCAATCTCGCAGCACATTTTGTGGGTCTTGAAGAAAAGATTTTCGCACCTCCAATAGAATATTCATAGTCGTATTTGCATCTAAAATACGCCTGCCTGACGTCGTATATATGCCTGATAATAGAATCAGTACAAAAACAAGAACAAGCTTAAACATTTCCATTTCTTTGGCAAAGTGAGAGAGATTTCACTGAATGATGCTTATGTACGGAGTAGATGAGGAGGTGGGTTTTTCATTTAATAGCTTCTCAAGAACTGGGGTGGCGAGAAGACGCGTGTTTCTGAGCCAGTGCATGTTGCACAGTTCAGATGGAAATGGTGATTTCGATTTTTGGACAGTTGTAGCAGCAGAGCTTTAATTCTCCTCAAAAAGAGTGGAAAAAACAAGAGATAAGGAAATGAATGCTCCACCGATGATTTCTTCCTGTAAGAGATGGAGAGAGAGATTTGTAGAAATGTAGTCAAATGTGAATCGGGTAGCAGCATTAAATGATGTAAAACACAAGTCAAGGCTGGAGGAACCAAGAAGTAGACAAGTTCGAGATACTATTTAATGAATGAATAAAGAAGATAAAGATATTGGATGATTAATAGGAGAAGATATAGTTGTTGAAGGCTGAGAATTGTGGATTTGCTTGTAATGGTGTGTTAGCTCAATCTTCAAGCCGTATTTTTGAAAGTGCACGGTTGGTTTTCCATTCTTTTACGAGCAAATTTCATCCACAATCACTGAACTCGACGAATTATCAATAAGGTTATTGAACTTTGATTTGTCTCAATTAAATCACTCAATTTTAATTCAAGTTTCAAATTTTACCACTCTGCCATCTGCCGTCTCTCAAACTGATGAAAAATAGCAATCATGCCAAAATGGATATTCCGCTTAATTGTTGTGTATTATGTCAACTTACCGCTATGCCACGTCTAAAAGCATTATCATAACCTTCATTTTAATGAGTACTGCATGACAATTTCCATCTGTTTGGAGAAGGGAGTAGTTAGTTATATTTGAATATAAATTGAAGTTTAATGATCTAATTGAGACAAATTAAAATTTTTAATGATTCAAATGAAATTTTTCTAAAAGTTTAATGACCGCGGAGGAAATTTACCCATTCTTTTACCTTCATATCAATATTATACAAAGTCAACCATGCAACAAACTTTATTCCTTTTGGGTGTGCATGATTTCATTGGCTTAACACACATCAATATTCCTTTGTTATTTTAAGGCAAACTCTTATTGTTTTGCATACATTATTTTTGACCATTATTGGGTTTAGCTACCAAATCCTATTGTCCTTTTGCAGGGCATCTACTCTTGTTTAAATGGCTGTACAAAACCTTGTTTCCTACTCCAAACTCCAATTATTTCCTGCCTTTAATCTTATCTTGTGATACCCTATTATTAAATGTTCTTCACCCTCCTACTCCTTTTTTATTATAATTAGATTAACCGTATTCCCTCGCAGAAGTATCCTTTCTCTTCTTCAAACCCTTAAACTTGTTGAGACTAATGAATTATCTGAGGCATCGATGCGTGGATGTGAGACGGGCATATGGATTTG